TGTAATTGTCTCTGTTGTCTTCAGTCTGCAGTTTAACACCCTTGGTCCTGAGTCCTGCAGTCTGCTGAGAGACCTACTGCTAGATCCCAGGAGTGTTATTAGATCTCTGAAGTAAGACTCTACTTTTATTCCAGTTTTGATGTTTTTAGCCCAAATGTATGTAACCAAATGACTTGTCTTTAATGTCTTTACTTTGGCACTGTCTTTTAATTTTATAATTTAATGTAATAGATTTCAGAATTTGATTGCATAATAGGAAAATGCATAAGTATTGGAAAAATTGGGAAAAAGTTGCACAACTTGGTTTTACATTGCAACTGCAAACACGGTACAAGTAAGACACTACCAGAATGTCAGAACATCAATTGAAACTTGAATTCCAAGGAGTTTAGGGGTGGGACTTTATTAAAAAAAATTAAGCCAAATAATTATGGGCATAGTAATAAATTAATTGGACAAGAAAATATGCCCCAAAGCGCATATGTTTTGTTTTTTTTTTAATTAAAAAAGGTTTTAGTGGGTGACAGAATCATGGACATGGTCATGAATATTATAAACTCAAGCTCTTTAAACTGCATTTTAATTGAAAAAACAGAGAAACAAAAATAATATCACTAGCCAAAATAGGGCCACCGATGGTTGCGTGTAGCTACAAGTTGAGATAGGTCTTTTACAAAGGCAGAATAAATTTCACCATGTGTTTGAGTCATCATTGGAGACCTCCATGGTGTGATGCAGGTGGCAGAAGATAAAACCACTGAACATGAGACATATGTCTCACCTCCAAGAAGCTCAGTCAGACAGTACAAGAAAGTAATTAATAATCTACACAATAACTGTCAACTATAGAGCTTTTTGAAGAAACGGTAACAATAAGTTAAAAACTAGTTTTATTTACCTGCATGGCTCAAGAACAGTTACCAGCTTTTGGAGTTTTACCAGCTTTGATGGAGTTAAAATGACTAGCTTGTGCTTTGTTTGTCTAAAGCAGCAAAAACAGCCTCTTGACTCTTTAGTAGACCAGAAACCGTATCCAGCATTGAATTCCACCGTGTGGAAAAATCCTGTATGAGTGGCTCTTTCTGTTGCCCCAGTCTTGTTTGCTCCTGGTGTAGTTCCTACATATGAGCAGGGCTGTCTGTAATGCATCTATTTTGCTTGCTTTTCAGTGTCATAAAGCTGCTGATTTTTACTTGAAATAGTTAGTTGGAAAGTTGGATCTCATGACGCTAACAGTAGCACATTTTCTAACCTCCTATGTTCTACCACTGATAGTGGTCTACAGCCCAGAGTAATCCATTTTGGAAGAGAATTTGTAAGTTTTTCCGATGTTGACTTACTAATTTTGTTCCTGAAACGAGTCATTTCATCACGTTTGGGCTGCTGACACCTTTTGTTGGTACTCAAACTGGGACTGCTAGCGCTAACAGCTCCCACAGTTTCTGTGCTCGCGGCAACGTGTTTTGCATTTAGATGGTACCATAAGTTTGAAGTACTTTGGTGGTATACAAATTCTTTTTGGCACACTTTGCGCAAAACCACGCTTTTATCAAGGCTTCTGTTGGGTAGTCTTTTGAAATGAAATTTGCCTCAGATCAGTCCTAGCAACGTGCTTTCGTCTGGTTCTTTAATAAATTTGCATGCTGAAAGAAATGTTTTGTCTCTCTCCCATTTCTTCTTGTAGCATTTTGCAGCCCTACTTGGAACCTTGTTAGGATCCAACCATGCAAAATATGGTGGTTTTAAACTTTTGATCAGGACTGAATAGGTCAACCTTTGTTAAGGTGCCTTATGCTTTGTTTAACAGCTGTTCATTATGTTTTGTTTTGTTTTTGTTTTTTTGTTTTTTTTTTGGGGGGGGGGGTATTTATATCAAATGATGCTCCTTATTTGGCACACATAAAACTAAAAGCTACCAGGAACATGAAGAAAATGTTGGGAAAACCCAAACAGACATGGAGTCTCATAGACGAACTAAAAGCTACCAGCCTAATCTGGGAGACAGTCAAAATAACAGACAGAATTAAGAATTCAGCTCAGCTAAGCTTAATAACAGAGTCATAAATTTAGTGAATCCATGTTTTTCCTTGTTGTCTAAGGGAAGTCTGAAGACCGTAAAGAGACTCACCTGTAAGATTACACTTAAACCTGTGACTCACCACAGGTTTAAGTGTAATCTTTCTGAGTTGTTTGATGTGTTAACGGCCATTTGCTGGGAAAAGTCTTGATAATGACAAGCACCGTGTTCATTTTCTTTTTGTTTTGATTTCTTCTTTTTTTCTTCTTCAAAACAATATAATGGCACACAAGCTGGACCTTGATCCACAGTTTAAGGGTGCTCTACAGTGTAATACTAAAGTTGAACTTCACCTTCCAAAAAGAGTCGAATTTGTCAGTCTATGAAATTTTATATCTTTGGATATTATATCTTTGGACTTATGTTTGACATGTCAATGGTTATTAATCAAATTTACTCTGAACATGTTGTTCTTTTTTTCCTCTTTTTTATGACATAATGGTTTAAAAGAGCAAACTAACATCTCAATTGACATCATTTTCAGTTTGCTAAATGTCTTTCTTCCACATTAATTATATATGGGAAAGGTTTATCACTGTGTAGCATCCCCTCTTCTTTTAACAACAGTGTTTGACTCAACATTGAGCAAAGTCATCTAAATCAGAGGAAAGTCACATAC